AAAAAAAAAAAAAAAAAAAAAAAAAAAAGAAAGAAAAGGCCGAGTCGATTAGCTGGGGAGGAGCAGCTTAATGTTCGTGGGGTGAAACTGCCGGAATCCCCCGGCCCGGCGGCTCTCCAGGAAGAGGCTGTATAATCTGGAAACTGGGCTCCCCGGGGAGGAGAAGGGGTGGATGGGAGGGGAAAATTGCCAGAGCGCTAACTTCAAAGCCTTTCTTCCCTGCAGTGCGTGCGCGGAGTGGGACAAACCTGATTGAATTAACACCGCGGGGCGGGGGAGCCGCCGGCAACCGCGCTCAGAACCGCCCGTCCCAATTTGGCTAGAGCAGCCATCAGGGGACTGGGAATAGGGTCGGGGTGTATCACCCCCCTGCAGCTCCCAGACATGGTGGAGCCACTCCAGGGACCTCTTTACAAACTAGGTGAAGTTATTCGGCGTTGTGTGCTAATCGAGAGAGATCTCGCGCTGTTAGGCCATTACATCTAATTGCTGCCCATTATCTCTTTCTTTGATACGCAATTAGATGACAATTAACTCGATAAATCCCACCAAAGTGGAGGGGGAAGAAAGAGGAGAGACCTCTTGGTCTCGACGAGTTCCTTGTGTAGACTTTACTACTTTTCCTTTATATTTGTCTCTKAAACACTTCGACCCAGTGTTACGCCCTAATAGCACCTACTAGGGAGCTAATCCCAGCGTCACTTTGGTATTCAGGTAGRTTAAGTGCTTTAATTCTTATTTCAKCCCTTAGTTATTCTGCTCGGGCAATTCTGATCAACTGTGGAGGTGTCACAAGTCCCCAGGCAATGTGGTGATGGCGTGCATAGAAATTCAAGCACTGGTTTATTTCGAGCCACCCTGTACATAATTTATTTAGGTGCTTTGTCCACTAGTTCTGCAGAGCACACAGAAATATTCTCCCGATWAATCGTTTTTAATGCAAAGTGCGTGTTTGTTCCCACAGTGGCTGAATGGGAATATCTGGGCTTGCAGCGTGAGTCGGGAGGGAAGACGGTGCAGCGCTGCCGGCTGAGCCAGTAGCATTTGTCATTTATTGCGTGTCAGCCCGCATTGTTCCCGCGGGCAAAGGAGCGGCGGGGTGATGGCACTGTTAGTGTTCACGGGTACTTCAAACAGAAAAGCATCTATTCCCAAACAATCGATCTCGTTGATGCCTAATTGACTATCTAATAGCACCTATCAGGACATCAAAGGAGACGCTGAATAACCACGTTAGCATTTCCAAAGGGGAGCTGCCGAGGGTACAAACAGCCATCAGCTGTCCCACCGGCCAGCCCGGGGTGTGCCTGGGATTCCTGGGGCCCCGTCTGAAACTGGGAAAATTTGTCTGCACTTGTAGCTGTGTTAAAACCCTGTTCCTTACAGTGACTTTACTTACCTTTAAAAGTTTCCCACATTTCTTCAGATTCTCTCCTCCTGCCCGTTTGTGTACCTAAACATGTTTTTTGTGGGGTTAGAATGTTGGGGKTTTTTTGGTTGGGGTTCATCGGGTTTTTTTCTTTCTCAAAACGGGACAGGTAATATTGCAGTTGTTCTTACTGCATCCCTTATCATCTCCACTTCTCCAGTTTTGTCAAGAAGATAATGGAAAATCTGTGCTTTTTGTAAAGATAAATCGGATCTGCCTATGAAGGAGCCACAATCCCAGGTCTGGTGGCCTAGAACATCAGCTCTCAATCTATGATAAATGCTACTGCAGTTTGATCTGTACACTGCTTTGGGGTTTTGTTTGGGTTTTTTCCCCATAGTCTACTTACAAACATGGCTAGCAGATGGAAAGTTTGTAACATGAATAGCTGACTATGCTAGCAATTATTCCCCTTGAGAAGGCCTATTTTTCTGCTGRCAAAAACATGTCAGCTTTTTCTTATGTTTTCATGCAAAATCAGTGGGATTGGCACATGAACCGTATTCCTGGGCAATACAATTTCTTCAACATCTAGCAAAGGTGAGCATCTAGAGTCTTGTGCAGGAGCTGCTGCAGCCTGGGTGATGGGCTGGACCTTCCTTAGGTAATACCTTCGAGCTGTGCAGTCCTGCCTGTTCTCATGGGTTTATATTCCATGCACACACAAAGCCCCAGATGAAATATTCCCAGACATACCAGTGAGAGAAATCTACCATTTGTCCTTAGAAGTCTTGTAGAGCTCACACGAGAAAAGTACCCTGTCCTGACACCAGTATCTGTAATTAGCACATCCTGGCATTAATCTGCACTGCAGTTCAGGGTATTGTAGCAAGATACGCAAGAGTGCACAAGTTTTCAGTAAATTTCTTGAAACAATCATGTTTCTTATAAGACTTGTACACAAATATAGGCCAATAAATACGTTGAAACAAGATTTTGAGAAATGGGTTCACTATGTTCTCAATGTAACACATGTAAGAAAAATACATCCATTTTTCAATATAATACAATATTCTGCAGTCCTGAATATAGAGAAATCTATAGGAAAATACATAATTTTTCCTGAAAACTTGGATTTATTTTTCATCACGTTTATATGTCACATCAATTGAATGCTGTAAAAATTTCAAGTGATATCAAAGAATTGAAAAGATATAAATTTATGGCTCATACGAGCCCCAAATTCCTGCAAGGTGAGGGGAAGATTTAACTGCAGCTGCAGGGCCTCTACCCACCCAGGGTCGTTAAAGTTTTCAAGTTTCTCAAGCTGCCACCTCTTTCTAATGGGAGCTACAACAGCCACATAACACCTTCCACACTTTTCCCATCTGTTCCAGGGTTTTGTGGCCTACASATGCAGCTACTTTCATCTGGAGTGGGGAGACCCTAGTGTTGGGTTTAAATATCTTGCTAAACAGGCAATTCAGATTGGAGTCTAATTTAAAAAAAAAAATCAGTTTTCATTGATTTTCAGCAAACGGTGGGACAGCTGCTTCCCTGCACTCCCAGCCAAATGAGAGAAGSAAATGGCAGCAGCTCTTCAGGGTTACTAATAGTTTCCTTCTRTAAGATACATAACAGATAAATGCAAATACTGATCTCTTTGGGCACAGCACTGAGTGGTCATCTCGTGTCTGGTTTAATTTTGGCAGCTGGGGATGAAATGTCTCTCCCTCAAGGGGCCCTGGGTGTTTCTGTGCACACGGGTGAGGGGCCTGCAGAGCATGGGAGACCCGAGGCTGCCTGGCTTAGCACAGGTTTCTTCTGMAGAATCAGTGGGGAAGGCTGGAAATGGGGCATTTTTCTTTCTGGGTAGGGGTSTGCTCAGTTTAGGAGCTCCTGAATATCAGGGGTTTTTTTGTGTATTGTCTCTAAACTTGTTTTTGGTGAGGTAGTCAGGTCTGCAGATAGTACACACTACTTTTACCAAGGACAACTTGCTGTGAATGAGTTTCTGGGTGGCAGAACATGAGTTCTTCTGCTTGGATTTATCCACACATGGGCTTATTCAGAAACTGCTGTTCTGAAATTAGATGGGAGATAACATAGTGATGCATTTGTTTCAGAAAAAGAGGGACCAGACACAAGTGGAATGGTCAGGAATAGTTATTAAATCCTGAAGTTATYAAAATCAGTGTGCAGGCACTTAATTAATTCAAGGAACAGTGAGTGACCTATGTCTAACTCACTGGGTCAGTGGCACAGATATGTTGGTTCTGMTCTAGGGTGCGAGTTCAATCTCAGCTGTATTTAGCTGCTTGGTCTTTTGCAGTGGCTTGCGCCCATCAGCCAAAATGACAGTCCTGTGCCAGCAGTGAGTGAAACTCCTTTAGTGGCTGTGCCCAGCACCCCTCAAAGAGCAGGGCGAACTCTGTCGGGGCTGTGCCGAGGCAAGAAGAGCTTTTCCTATCCCTGCCCTGAGGGGATGGTGTTGCAAGCAAAGCTTCAGGAGGCATCCAGCTCTTGGGATCTGTGGGCTTGGTGAGGTGTTTGCATTGCTCAGGTGCCTGGGCTTTGCCCCTCCCCTGGGGCCAGCGTGGGGATAAGCCGACTTTGTGGGATCGGGAGGAGCCGATAAAYGCGCTACCCATTCCCGCGGCCATGGAGTTACGGGAACACCTGAGACAATGAAAACCGACAGCACGAATATGAGGGTGTTTTTTTTTTTACCAAATGATTTTCATAATAAGCAGGGGAGATGGTTTGGTTGACTTCTTTTTAAGAGAAAAAATACACACATGGCCCATGCATGTAGAAATCTAGATTATTGCTAGATAGTGTTTTAGAAAGAAACAGACTCCTGCCCTGTTAGGCCCAGGTTTATGGTGTCTACTCCTTCCGGTGGTACCTSCGAGCAGGAACCCTGAGGATTTTGGAATCCTTATTGAAACTGAGGTCCTTTCAGTGTATTTACCCAGTTAAAGGAATTGATGCTCGCTTCCATCCTGCTTTAGGCGAGGGTTAGAATGTGAGTTATTCAAGAATCGCTRCTGCCGGGTGTGCTCGTGGTCGGTGTGGTATGTTTTACTGCCGTGACCAAAAGCCCGGTGGAAACTGAACATGAGAACTTGGAGAAAGGCTGAGCTGCTGAGATACCTCTCTTCCCATCTTTGCTGGGAGATGTCTTGCCCTGCATTACAAGGGTATCGTCGTTCTCGGGAAGCGGCATGTGGATTGGGGTGYTATGAAGTTGATGAGGTGCGAGCTCCGCTGCTCGCTTAGTGCTTTGATCACTAAACGATTGGGGAGATGGGTTGCATTTTCTGGCTAGACAGACGGCGCCAAGTTCAAGCTGAGAAGGCTCGAGGCCCTGCTCACCCCCAGCCTGGCTCGGGCCCCGGTGTGAGGGCTTAGCCTCGGGGATAGGGACTTCTCGAAATTGGCCCCCCACGGCTTTTCCCAGGGARGGAGAAGAACGGCGGGGCTGGCAGGCTGTACCCGAGGTGCCTTATCCCTCACCCCGGCCCCATGGGTGTGGGCTCGGGGCTGGTTTCGGGCATCTGTGCAATGCGGGACCCCGCCAGTGCAAAGGGAGCGGAAAAACCGCTGTCACCGGCACCCGCGGTTTTTTGAGCCGCCCGTTTGCGGGGCTGGGGCTGCCCGTGCCCTGCCCTCCAGGGGACAGGGGCAGCTTTGCACTTCAAGGGGGTCTCGCCGGCCCCGCAGACACGCTGGAGCCAAGGGCTGTAGACATTTGCCAGACGTGTGAACTTTCTTCCTCGCTAGTAGCTGTTATCTCTGCTCGATTCCCACTTTGATGTGTTCGCACTTACAAACGGCCCCTCCCGGGACCGGAGCGCCCATATAAACCGGGCCSAGGCCGTCGGTCCTCCAAACTCCTCTCCGCCATGAACCAAGCCCAGATCCCCTCGGCCGAGACCAAGCCCCACGGGGCCAGGCCCCACATCTGCTGTGCGCCCCCTCCCCGCGCCCCCACCTCGCTGGGCAGTCCCACCGTCCTGGTCCGAGCCAAGCCCCGACGGGGCAGCCCCCAGCCGGGGCAGCCCGCGGACAGCGAGCCCTGCGCGGCGGAGCGGAGCCGAGACGATCCCCGGGACATCCCCGAGCCCTGCCCGTCGGAGCCAGGTGGGTGAGGAGCGAACTGCTGAAAGGGGAGCGGGCTGGGGACACACCGGGATCCAGGCTGCCGTCGGTGCAACGGCCTGGCAGGGCCGAGGGGAGGCGGGGGCACTGTCCCGGCCGGGCAGAGGCCTCACCGCCTCCCCTCTTCTTCCCGTGCAGCTCCCGAGGGCGGCTGGCTCAGCGCTGACGAGTCCTCGGGCTACGAGAGCGAGAGCGCGGGCGGGGAGCGCGCCGAGACCGCGGCGGCGAGCGGGACCCGCGGGCGGCAGCGCCGGGCTCGCACCGCCTTCACCTCGGAGCAGGTCTGCCGGCTGGAGAAAACCTTCCAGCGCCACAAGTACCTGGGGGCCACCGAGAGGAGGAAGCTGGCGGCTGCCTTGCAGCTCTCCGAGATCCAGGTTAGTCCCGCARGAAGCGGATCCTTCCCGGCCCGTCGGGCACGAGCAAGCCAGGGTCGGCGGTTCCATGTCGGTGTTTCCTGTGATAAAGAGACGTAGCACTCTGCAGCTGAGTTTAGCCGAGGCTGTGGGATCCCTCAGGGATTAAGGAGTTAACCACTCCGGGAAATGCGCTGCATTTTCTATCGGGAARTTATCAAAGTTTTTTTAGTTCTTGCTGAGGTGGATTGTCCTGGATATACAGCGATCTGAGTAGACTATGCAGAGCTCCTGTCTGGTCCTAAAGACCATTAAATGATTAATGTAAAGTCCCTGAACGCAGCCACTCTTTCCCCCCTCTGCCCTCTGTGGTAGGGCAAAAGCACCACCAGCTCATTCCAGCTCTGTCAATTCCATCTGAAGCAAAATGGCAAAAGCAGCTGTGATATTATTGTTCATAGTTTGCACWTTACCTTTAGTCAAAGTCCCTGATTTGTCTCCTGCATCCTCCCCTTCTTTTGTTGCTTAGATCAAGACCTGGTTTCAGAACCGGAGGATGAAACTCAAGAGACAGATCCAGGACCACCAGCACAGCCTCGTGTCTCCTGTTCCACTCTACGCCTAYGCCCCGGGGACCTCACCAGCTCTGTTTCAGGATGGTCCCCACTACCCCTTTGCTCCTCAGCACCAGAGACTCTTGCCTTTTACCCCAGTGCCTGCTGTGCAGTTCAGCTTCTCCTTCCCCAGATATGATGCATCGCAAAGCACCTACCACTTTATGGCAAATGAACTGCCCTGCTACCACCAACAYTTCCTTCCTCATCCTTCTTTCCATCCAGTGATTCAGAACAAAATGGACAAGCAATGCCACCCTGTGTATGCGTTATAGTGAAAAAGCCAAGGAGAAAAGAGTTTTATACTGTGATCTTTTCATGTGTTTATTATTTTAAGTTAAATGTGAAAATGAATTTTATATTTGATAATTAATATTAAAATATTCATAATTCTAGTCTGAAATGTGTTAGATAGATGGTTTTCATTGCACATCCCCAGTTTTTCATAAATGTGTATATATATTAATAAAATCTGAACAGATTTGTATGTGTCAACTCCATAAAAGGTTGCACTTGTGCAATGTAAACTGCAATGGTTACCTGTAAAGGTAATGGGTTTAGATGTTTTAACACATTTTGTCTCACTTTCCTGCCCTCCCACTGAGACAGTCTGTTAAATATTTGGTAGCCTGAACAGAGGCAACTGCACCCAGTTGCCCTGCACTGTGCGCTGAGCTAAGTGCAYCCTCGAGGAGGAAGGATAAACTGTCAGTGAGGTTCTCTTCTGGATATAAATCAAATTTTAAAAGTCCAATCCCATCTTCCACATGAAGTTAGTAGCTGTATTTTTTGTTAAGTCAGCCTGTCTTTCAAAGGGATGGATGGATCAGGCCTTCATTTCAAATGGATCAGGCCTTCATTATATGGAATTTAAAGTTTTACACTTGCCAAAACACTAGGCAAAAAAATTTCAGGCATACTTGTGTCTGGTTCAAAGCCATATTATTTAAGTGGGATTGTAACCTGAAAATATGGCCTATCTCACCACTAAATACTATTTATAATTGCATATTTTGCGATTTGCACCTTTTTTTGCAAATTTACATATTCCCTTTAAACATGTAAAGGGTTCAAGTTTTGTTTTAGTTATCCTGAAATTTGTTGTTTTGGTTTTTTTTTAGTTCTTTCTGGGACAGRTTTTCACTCCTAAGAACACACTTAGTTAACACTTACTCTTAAACTAGATTTTAATGAAGTTTCATTAATTCACCTCACAGGCCTGTTAATGTAGTCTAAATTTCCACCCTTCACCCTCTAATTCACTGTCATCAAGAGTTTCGATTTAGCAGCCTGGGGGGCTTCTCACTTGAAAGAATTGGAATTACTTGGAAAAGGTAAAGGTAATTGTCTGTAAAGTTCCGAGTGAYCGAGAAATGCACAGGTTGTCCCTTCAGCTGCCTGGCTGTGTCATGGATCTGTGGCTGCCCTGATGGGATGCTGAGAAGAGGTGTGGCTGGGGAAATTCCTTCGAATGTCTCCCACCTTCCCCTCCCTATTGCCTTCTTAAAACTGATTTTTCCTGCACTGCTTAGGCCCCAGAGCACAGAGTTGGTGGGGTCTGGGATGGGGGTTACACGGACCTAAAGGGTKGAGGGAGAAGAGGGGTAAAAGAGAATGCATGGCACCGAGCTGTTGCAGGCCTCTTTTTTTTTTTTCTTGTGAGCAGAGTGGGGGATGTTTCAAAGCTTTTTCTTGGTGGTGGTAGTTTATATTTTGTTTTGTGGGTGTAATTTTTTTTCTCTTTGTTCTTGCAGAGTAATCTAACCATCACCTAGCAAATTAGATTGTCCTGCATTGGGGAAGGAGGCGTAGTCACACCTGCTGCAGCTGCTTCATGCTGATGTAAGGTCTCTTGTTTCCCATTGTCTAAAGCCTTGGCTTTGCCATTTTCCATAGTTTTCTTTGTGGCTTTTAGGAACAGCCCTAAGTGCTCCTGAGAGCAAGCCTAAAGTAGTTCTGCAGTGTAAAAATTAGGGAGACTAAGTTACAGCTGCAACTTTTGGAAGTAAAAAGAGAATTTTTGTCTTTCTGARTGTTCCAAGAGACCTGAATTGGTGAACAATTCGTTTTCATAAGCAGATTTAAATTGCAARTATGCTTGACACTGGTGACAACTTGCATGCAGTTAATTCCTTAGCATCACCTCTTTTCAAGTGCATAAATGCAACATGTCCAGCAAAAAACAGGTGAGACCACTTTAAGAATGGTCCAGAATACACACATAAAAGACAGTACTGGGCACCTCTGATCAGTTTTGTTCATAGCATTTTTACCTTTGGTAACATTTTGATTTAAATGCATTTGCTGTAGTTCGAAAATGTTCCCCAAAAATCCCACWCTCAAGCAGAATGGGCAAAGTTTTTAACACCATTGTCTATTAAATGACATCGTTATGATGTCAATTTCAGTGTAAACAGTACTTCATCACTTCCACTCYCAGTATAACTTCTCTAATATGGGTAAATTATTTTGTCCTCTAATCAAACTTTTTGTTATGTTAAAGAAAATAATTCAAAGAATCATAAATTTATTTAATACAACAAAATAAGTTAAATGGTTACTCTCAGAGTATTTGGCACTTCTTTTTAAGATTAGAGGTAATCATTGATATTTTTAACAGGAAGGAAGATCAGGTTGGAACATCAGTCTTTTATGYTGGGTGGTTAGAGTCACTGCTGGAAGTGCAGAAGAGTAACAAGATAATGCTGGCCTGGGAGGCAATAGTAAAGCTGGACTTGGCAAAACTGGCTGAAGAGACTGATCTGGAACAGAAGGTAACAACAAGGCAGGGTTTGGCACTGCTGGGTGAAGGGAAACAGCAGAGGTAGCAGATACATTGACATCCATCCCATGAGGATAGCTGGATGTAGCCACATCTGGGTGACAATGGTAAGGCAAAARTAAGCCTGAGAAAAGAGCTTCGATTCTGGCATCTTGGGTCTGGCGTTTGAACTTCATACGGCGATTCTGAAACCAGGTTTTTATCTGAGAAGTAAAAAGAGTCAATAACTAAAMCACTTGTCCCTGTTTCATATATTAACACCTGCTCAAGACAGACTTTTTGTCAAAGGAAGTGAATGCATTAACAGTGCATGTGAAAGCTAACATGGTTGGTCTATATTTCGTGCAGAGTAATTGTCCTGACATGATGAAGAATCAAACCATGAACATTCCATGATGCATGGCAAGCCAAAAACTCAGATTGGGACCAGCCCTGTAACTCACAACTAGTGCAGAGAGGCTTAAAGGGCCGGGTAAGGTAGTTCGTTCAAAAATCCTGCAATGCATCTCTCAGACAGATACATAATGATAAGAATTAGCCTGRAAATTGAAGTTCTGCAGATTGTGGAAGTCCTTTTCCCCTCCAGTGAGATTTYAGCTTTTGAACCGTTTCCCATTTGCACCTTGTCTCTGTAGGACCCGGAGCTGCGATGGACGCAGCAGCGCCCGAAGAGGCAGGGCTGTCACTTTGCTCAGGCCCGTTTTCTGCCAGCCGGACGAGGCTGACGGGCAGCCCGGGCTACCGCACCTGCAGGAGCTGTCGCTGTCGCTGTCGCTGTCCCCGGACCCCGGTGACAGTGGGGTGCCCACCAACCCCCCAGGACCCGTGTCCGCTCGGGCGGAGGGCGAGGCCGCGCTCACCTGGCTCTGGGAGAGGTTCAGCAYTGCGGCCAAGCGCCGCTTCTCGCCGGCGCCGATGTAGCGCTGCTCGCGAAAGCTGCGCTCCAGCTCCTGCAGCTGCTCGGCCGAGAACTTGGTGCGGGATCGCCCGGGCATGGCCCCCGCCGGCCCCGCTTCGTGC